ATCCCATTATATATATATATATATATATATATTTGTTTTAACCGCATTTATTTATTTATTTCCTTTTTTTCACTCTAACACTCTCCAGTACGGGGAAAAAGCGCAGGAGAAGAGAAGAAGTAAATAATGATGTGTGAAAATCCATAGGAGCGAATGCAGAGAGGTCTAGCGAGGAAGAGAGAAATAAAGAAATAAATAATGGGGTGAAGAATGAAAGAAGCAATGAAATTAAGGAGAGAGGAGTATAATGATATGAACGTTGAAGGTAATGAGAAATAAATAGGTCAAGCGCCGCAAAATTTTTTTGTTTCTATTTTGGGTCTCATTTGTTGTTTTTGTTTCTGTAACTCTCTCTTAAACGGGGAGTTTGGCTGTATGTATGTATGTATGCGTGTGTGCGTGTTTGTATAGCTCACTATTTCTTTGTATGGGGCTATGCTCACACATGCGCATACGGATAAATAAAAATAAAAATAAAACAAAAAAGGTGTAAAGTATACATTATATGTTTGTTAATATATCTGTATGATTATTTTGTTCGGTATACCTTTAAAAAAAAAAAAAAAAAAAAAAAAAAAAAAAAACTTGTGCATTCGTTCTTTTCTTTCTTTCTTTTTCTTCTGTGATTTTATATTCTGTTGAGTAGAGTAGTTTGATAGTAGCAGTTGCGACGTTCAAGCCACATATCAAAACAAAGAAAAGTAAATACCACAGTGCTTATCCCACCCACCCCTCCCAATAACAACAAAAAAGAAAAAAAAGAATAAAAAAGAAACAGATTTTTAGTAGACAAGTACACAAGGGAAATTACGTTTAACGGAGAACATTTGTGCATAGTAGATTAACCCTTAAATAAAAAAAAAAAAGTTGCCTCCAGTTATCTGTATTATCTTCCCTTATATCTTCTTGGTATCCCATTATATATATATATATATATATATATATTATCTCTCCTTCTCTATTGCGATATTTTCCACTTCCACTTGTTCCTTGGTGGATAGATGCCTGAGGCGTATATTGTGCGGTTTAAGGTGATCACGCTGGAGTGCGCCTCGCTGCCGAACGGGCAGCAGTACACCATCACTTACCGCCGCCGCGAGACGTGCCGGTCGACGCCGTGCTACGCGGCGGATGGCGGGGTGGTGGACTTCAGTTCGATGCCGGAGGGCAGTGCGATTGTGCACTTCAAGCCCGGCGGCGTGCGGTTCCACCCAAAGTGGATCACCTTCCGCATCGAGGAGTTCGTGCGCGGGCAGCCCCGCAAGACGGTCGCGGAGACGCAGTTGGACTGCGCCGCGGTGCTCGGCGTCCACAACATCACCGCCGCCACGACGCGCCGCGTGAGTTTCGACATGTACGGCACGCCGGCGGTGATGGTCGTGGCGCTGCTGGTGTACCCGAACGGCCACCCGCCGCTCTCCTTCGCCGGCATCGTCCCCGACAAAAACAGCGCGAGGGCCGGCGGCGAGGGGGAGCGGCGGCTGAGGGCCGGCGGCGGCGAAGTGAAGAAGTTCACACGCGGCGAGGCCATGACGCTCCTCATCTCACTCGAAACGATGCTCGAGCGGCGGCGCGCAGAGACGGCGGCAGGCGGCAGCGCACAGGCGGAGTCGCCGCTGCAGCGACGAGTGGCGGAGTTGGAGGAGCGCCGCCGCTGCATTACGGGCGTGGAGGGAATGGCCACCACCGTCGTCACGAAGCGCGTGGTGGATCTCGTCGCCGCACAGTTTGTTGCCCTCTCGCGCAAATACCGTGGGAATTACGTTGGCGAGGTCGCCGCCTATCTGCGACAAATGGCAGTCGCAAGTGGAATTCCACTCACCGCCGACATCTCCACAGAGACAACACTAGACGTAGAAGCCGCACGAGAGCGACTGCAGCGCATTAATGGTCGTATAGATACACTGGTGGAGCAGACGCGGAAGTTGGAAGAAGAGCGGGAGGCTCTCGGACGACTGCAGGGACGTGCCGATGTAACAAATGAAGTGTGTGCCATTTTAACAAAATTAGAGACACTGCAATCGCAGATGCAACTCTTGATTAAGTCACGTGTGGCACTGGAAGACGCCGTACGGGGGAATGGTTTCAATGATACACCCGTTGGACGGGAAGTACAAGAGATTCGTGCTCGCATTAAGTTACTTGCAGGAGAAGAAGAACAATTACAGGGAAGAATACGACGGATGACAGCTGTTGCGGCTACACATGTACTAAAGTGGGCTCGCAGCAAGAATCCACCCAAAGAAGATGTTCGAGCAGATTTTTCAAGTCTCTTTGCTCCTATTACCCAACAGGAGAAAGATATACAAAAAGACCTCACTACAGAGCAACGACAGAAAATTATGGAAGCCTTATCAAACGTTGCCAAACCCTCTGCTCCACCTGTTCATTCCCATACTTCAAGCGAAATGGAAGAATCACCAAGAAATCCCCATGCGGAGATGTTTGGAGCCAAAGGTTTACCATCTATGAATGACTTTGCTGCTTCAGAGAAGAATGCATCACGTGATGCTGAAGAAAAAGGTAGTCCATCCTCACCATCACCACCACCTAATCAACACCTAGACCCATATATTCATGATTTGGGAAGAGATATGTTTGCGCCCAAGTCAGGGGGAGAGGATCAAGAAAATAAAAAGAATAAACCATCAAAGACTTATGAGTTTAATTTTGGTTCCGCACCAGATGATGAAAGTGACCCAGATGATGCGAAAGGAGATCGATACGGAATGTTTGGAGCAAACGTGCAAGAGAGTTCGCCAGATACGAGTGAAGGTTTACCTGCTGTTCAAATCACTTCCATCGATGATGATCCCATGTATGATTTCCGACCACCAGCTGATGTTACCAATAATAAACCTGTTTTATTTGAGATTAATGAGTCCTCATTTTCCCAGCCCTTCGAGCAGGCGACATCATCAAAGCTACCTGCCTATACCTTTACTACCGATGTAAACAAGTTCAGCGAGTCCGATGACGGCACTCCACGGGTGTTGCCAACGTACAACTTTGGTTCTGACAATGCATCGAAAAGTAATGAGAACAACACAGTGACGCGCATGCCGACATACAACTTTGGTAGCTAAAGTACCGAATGTGTAAAGCCAAATCTGCAATAAAGGGAAAGAGAAAAAAGTTGAGGGAGTGGGAGGAAACAGAAAAAAAAAAAAAGAAAAAAAAATAAGATGGAATCCATTAAAATACGTTCGATGAAAGAAAAGGATATACAGTAGTAAAACTATGGTGAGGGTATATATATATGTATATATCTGAACTTTGCAAAGAATTATGGGTGCCTCAGTTTTTTTTTCCCCTCCAATTACAATGACTGGCAAATACTGTTTTTTTTTTTCCCCCCCTCTAATTTATTCCGCAATGGAGACGCATGAACGAGTGTAAGAATATGTGTTTTTTTTTTTTTTTTCTTGTTGTTGTTCGCTCCGCATGAATTCATTTAGTTTTTTTGCTGTTTTCTCTCTCTCTCTCTCTCTCTCTCTATATATATATATATATATATATATACGTGTATATGAATGTATTTATATTTCTTTTTCTTTTTTCATTATTTCTTCCCCTTCTCCATCACTTATTACTCTTTTTTTTTTTAGTACGTACACGGGAGTTTTTCTTTTTCTTTTTTTTTCCAGTCCTCGAAGGTTTAGAAACACTCTCCTCGCCTATACTCTGCTTTTTTTTTCATCTTGCTGGTAATAATAACAACATTATTACAACTACGCGAGTATAGTTGCGGCATATATTGATATTTTGGAGAATGCGCGGAGGAGTGATTTGCCGATCTTTTGGCATCTACTCTCGCATTGCTCGGCTTTCTGTGGGTCATCACACGGCAGAGCGATATCAGATTCGCTGGATACACACAATACCACCTGATGTAACTCCCACTGCTTCTGGTGCTGAAGCATCAACACAATTATCATCATCATCATTATCTGCCACTACCACGACGGCAAAAATGACAGCAGCTGAAGGCACAAGCGAAAACTCCACAACTGCCAATGTTAATAATGAGGAGCCTTTTACTGCATCACGTTCAGCGGAGCAAACTGCTTCGACGAGTGAAAGGACTGAACAGTTGTACTCGGATAAGAACTTTCCCTTTAAACTGTACGGTGAGGACACCCGTGTCTCTGTTAACGATTCTAACCGTGTATTCAGTAGTTCTACTCCCTCTAGCTACACTTCCGCTCTCTTAGCCGAGCAACTGTTGGCGCAGGCCGCACAGGATAACGTTAACGGTAACAACAATAACAACATCAAAGGTTCTAGCGATGAACACGCAAAGAATCCTCAAAAGTTCTTTGAACCGGACTTGCCTCGCGATCGTGCAACAGCAGCAGCTGCAGCTGCCGCCGCTATAGCGATGGGTACGGAAGTGAAAAAGGTGGATTATGCGCCAGCGGCTGTTTTCCAACCTCCCGCACAGCAGTCACGACCCAATACAGATACAGGGCCACCCCCACTGCGGTTCGTGGCTAAGAATAATTCAGAAATTGAGAATGAACCCTCGACAGAGATGGATGTAAAGCAAGACACAATAGATGAGGAAGAAAATGTAATAGACGATAATGATGATAATGATAAAGTGAACTCCAGATCTATAGAGGGTCAAGATACAGAGGAGGTACATGTCTTGGTAAGGGATGAAATGCGGAACGTTATCGCCGTTGATCGTCTCACTTCTTTTGCTAGTCTTGCAGAAAAACTTCCGTTCTGGTTAGCGACTAACCTCGGGCGGGTAGGGTACACAACACCAACGCTTGTACAGTCCGTGGCAATTCCGCTTTTTATGGAGAAACGTGATGTTGTTGGTGTTGCACCAACTGGAAGTGGCAAGACAGTGGCGTTTGCCCTACCAGCTCTTGCTGCACTCGCATCTTTACCATCTGAGGGGCATGACAAGAATAACAACAACAAGAAAAACAATTTCCAGAGCTCTGATGAAACTGTATCGGCGACACTAGTTGAACCATTTGTTCTGGTGCTTTGTCCTACTCGGGAACTTGTGCAACAAACGCGTGATGTTTTTGCTCAACTTGCCGGAAATGTTGTACGTGTAAAGGCAGCTTTTGGTGGGCAAGACCGTGAAAAACAAGTGGAGTTTTTGCAGCGCTGGGGTGGATGTGATGTACTTGTGTCAACACCGGGTCGTTTGTGTGATTTTGTTGAAGTTGGAGTGGTTGGATTAGGACAGGTGAGCTTTCTTATTATGGATGAGGCAGACCGTATGCTGGAGCTTGGATTTGCTCCTCAACTAGAATTTATCATGTCAAATATTAAGAAATACAAACGATCACGACAAACAACGATGTGGACTGCAACATGGAATGCTACAGTTGGTAATTTAGCCGCCCGTTTTCTTTTACCGGAGCGTGTACTTATAGAAGTTGATCGTGAACACAAAACGAATACAGATATTACACAGTGTTTGTACCCCATGCAAGATGCATCCCAACGCATTAGTGCTATTGTGAAACTCTATGATGATGGTGTCATTTCCAAACGCCAGCAGGTTCTTATTTTTGTAAACCGTAAAGAAGATGTGGAGCGACTTGCCCACGATCTCTCCAAGGCACTGCGAGCCCCACCCGATCTCGTGCAATATCTCCACGGCGGGCTGCGGCAGCGGCGGCGCGAGGCCATTCTGCACGGCTTCAAGGAAGGCTCTATTCGCATTCTCTGCGCGACAGACGTGGCCGCACGGGGACTAGACGTGCCCGCACTCGATCATGTTATCAATTACGATCTGCCAATAGACACCGATGCGTACGTGCACCGCGTGGGGCGTACAGGCCGCGCCGGCCGCAGTGGAATGGCGCACACGTTCATCGTCGCCGGGGATCCACGCGCCCCTCGCATCGCACGGTTCATCGCTGCCCAAACCAACATTCCCTTATCCGATGATGTGCAGGCGCTGGTGAGTGAGGTGGAGCGGCACGGCGGACTGGACGCTGCAGTGCGCAGTAAATACAAAAGCCACGCACGTGTGGACGGGGCGAGTTGGCGCGGGCAACAACACGAACTGCACGACTCTCGTTTTGTACGCGGTGTGGGGCGTGTAATGACAATCAAGCGGCCAGCGCCAGCGCGATAACGGAGTGAATAAGTGATTTATGTTTGTTATGTTTCCCCTCTATTGCTCTTGTTATTACTATGACTATTGTGATTTATTCCTTCGTGTTACCACTCTATTTCCCCAGGATTCTTGCTTGTTAGAATAATGATGATGATGGTACCGGTGGTGATGGTGGTTTCTTCTTTAAAGGACTCACCACTTTTTTTTTTTTCCTTTTTTTTTGTTTTTGTGATCAGAATGCGAGTCGAAAAGAGAAAAGTAACACCCTTATCTTCCTATCTTCTTAAGGGGACTGGAGTGACATGCATGGGAATTCCCATGAAGTGCATTCCTGTTATGTGCGTGCGTTTCTGGGTACACGTGTGGCTGTATATATATATGATAACTGTCACTCTCAACTTTTTCCTCGCCCCTATCCGATTCTCTTATTTTTCTCAACTGGTGAGAGGAGAGAGAAAACGGGGGCTGGTTGAATTCAATGTATCCGCTTTTATCCGAAGGTTTCTTTATTGGTAGGAATTGAATATATTTGAGAATGTGAAAAATATATTAATTATGTTTATTATTTTATTATTTATGCATTATTTTCTTCTTCTTTTTCCTTTTGTGGGGGGAAGCAGGGAATAACCTTGAATCAGAGAAGACTCTCCGGATTAGAGAGAGAAAAAAAAAAAAGCCCAAAGGTGATTTTCAGCAGAGGAACACAACTAGTGTATCCTCTCTTCTATTATATTCTCAAATATATACTTAAAGGAACGATAGAGTTAAAGTGAGGCAGATAATACTTCACAAAGTAACATCGTACAATAGCGGACCCATATATATATATATTTATTTATTATAGGAAGACAGAGAGAGAAAAAGAAATAGAGTCTGTGTGCGATCAAGAAAAGAAACAGCAACAACACCAACAACAATAAGGCTCTGGTACTATAGCAAAAGGCCATAAAAAAAAAAGGAAAAGACGCAAACAAAAATATTAAAAGCGATACCTCACTCTCCTCAAGAAAAAAAAGAAGAAGAATAAAAAAAAAAAAAAAAAAATACACGTGCCAGCTGTAATATTAACACTGATAAAACTCAACTGCAATGGGGGATCTACTAGAACACTTTCGGGACGTTATGTCGTTTCAGCAACACGGAAGAACAGGTGAAAGAGTAGTTAGTGCATCATCGTTGGAGAATAACCCTGTACAATCGTCTACGTTCAGTTTCAAAACATCTCCCTTCGCTCAACATTCAGTTGACAACAATAACAATAATATTGATAGTAAGAACAACAAAAACAACGATGACGATGACGATGCTATTACGGAGGATGATCAAACGGAGTTGATAAGACTCCTGAATGAGGTCACACACACTGTTTGTCAAAGGGACGAGACGGAAACAACAGAAATTCAACATAGTGGGGGATTTGTCGTGGAGGAGTCGTACGGCCCTTTGCAAAGTGTAAGTCACGCACCGCCATTGTACGCGGCGTCCACACCATCACAGCCGCAGGTGCACGGTGGGAGTCCATTCAGTTACGCCGGCATTCCACACGTGGCCAAGCCCCCGCCCCCGTCCTTCGCAGAGGCCATTGCGGCAACACCGCCAATTGCTGCAGTGCCGGTGGAGTTATCACCACTCGCAGCACATTACGTGCCGCCGATGCCCGCAGCGCAGCAGGATCCAATCCTTCTCCGCAACGAACACGGTGTATTTCTCCTGCAGCCCATCGCGAAGCCCACACCACCGTACACCCCACCAAGTCTTTCCTCGCCCATTTCACCACTTCCACGCTACGCCCTCCCACCGGCCGCACCACCGCAGCAGCCACAACACTTTCTTGGGAGTTCCCTCGCACAAGCAGGCGGACTCGCAGATACGCATCTAAACAAGAAATCCAGCGGAGGTCTGTACGGCGCCCAGCACTCACCGAATACACTTTTGGGTGGAAGTCATGTGTTGAGCAGCGGCGCCGGCGGCGGGGGCGGAAGCAGCGGCAGCGGGGCCTACACATACATCAGCACCTCCGTGAAGACGAAGCCTCTCGGGTTCACACCACCACCTCCATACCCAACATGAGAGTGCCTACAATTCAGGAAGAATAGAAGAAAAAAAAAAATAGTAGGGCAAATGTGCTGCCCAAGCACAAGTTTTGTTTGTGCCTTTTTTTTGTTTATTTGTTCGTGTAGTATTCGTTGTTCTCAGTTTTTCTTTTTTTCTTTTTTTCTTTTCTTTCCTTTGGACTCTCGTGAAGAGATTTGCAAATGGAGGAGATGAATTCGCATTTGCGATCTCTGTCTGTGCTGGCGGAGCAAACGACGCAAGCAAATAGAATGAAGAATGGAAAAAAGGATTATGAATAAATCAGCACTTGTTACCAAGGAAATAAAAAAAAAAGAAGGAAAAATAAATATAGAACGAACAAACAAAATATCAAAAAAAAAATAGAAGTAAAAAAACGAATTAATATGGGAAGTACAAACGTGAAAGAAAGTGAAAATTAAGCAAAACAGAAGTGGGCACTATAGTGCCATTGAGTGTTATTGATCCATGTTTTTTTTTTTTTTTTCTTTTTGTTTCTTCTGTGTTGATTTTTGGTTTTGTTTTCGTCATCTGTATCTTGATGTGTGTTGAAGTGAAATGGAGGAGGTGCTTTTACATTCACCCACGTGAAAGACGACAGAAACTACATACTATTGCGGGGGAAATTGATTAAGTGCGAATACAGAAAAGAAAAAAAAAAAAGAAGGCATGTTTCTGAGTTTATGTATTTTTGAAAAAAAAAAAAAAACACATACGGACGTAAACATACGCATTAATACAGAGATAGTAATAGACATAATGTACGAAAAGGAATGATGGTTTATTTCTCCGCCTTGTTACTTCAGTTTTTTTCAGCTGGGATTAATCGCATTACGCCTGGCTTCAGACTCCACGTGCCAAAAAAAAGAAAAAAAAAAGAAAAAAGAAACGAATAACCGCAATTGGATTCAGGCACATTTTTTTTTACGGAGCTGCTTGGGAGTAAGGGCTGTTGAATACGTAGTGTTACTCTTCCTTTTCTTTTCCTCTTTTTTATTTATTTATTTATTTATTTATTGTTCCGTTTTTGTTTTTTGTTTTTCTTCGTTTTCTTTTTTGTTTGTTTCAACTTTTTGTTTTTTTCTTTTTTACTTTGCCTGTTTTGCGAATCGTGGGAGGTAGAAAGACAAACAAGCGGAAGGAACTGAAGAAAAGAAAACGTCTCTCGAATGCAGGCCTCTTCCTTTTTTTTTTCCTTTCTTTTTTTCTTCTTCTTGTAATTGTCTTTTTTGTTTCTTTTTTTGTTTCTTTTTTTGTTTTAGCGCACTTGTTGTTGATGATAATATTGCGCCCTCTACCTTTTTTTTCCTTTACTAACATTTTTACTAACACTACTTCTATTGCTGATGATGATGATACTGTTCCTATGGGTTGAAACCCCGTCATTTTTTTTTTTTTTTTGTTTCTGACTTTTACGACCCCACTCTACCCCCCATCCTTTTTTTTTTCCAATCAGAATAAAGAAGAAAACGAATTACATCCCCTTCATCTTGCCGTTGAAGGACTTGAAGTATGCAGGGGATTTCACGAATACGATGTAAGGTTTTCCCTCACTTTATGATTTCCTTCTTCCTATGCTTTTTACTCGAATGTACGTAATACATATATGCATATATGTTTAGATGTTTATATATATATATATATATATATATATATATATATGTCTATATATATTATTGTTATTGTTATTATTATTTTTTTTTTCTTTTTCTCTTCTTCTTGTTGTTTCTCTTGTCCATGCTACCATATTTTCTTTTTATGGGTTTGCAAGCGATAGTGCAACCCAAGGAAGAAGAAAACCAAAAAAAAAAAAACTGAAATAAAAAGAACAAAATAAAAAAAAAAGAGAAGGAAAGAGAGATAGGGTCTTCTCGTTGGTTACCATTACGATTTCCGATACATTGTTTCTGCTTTGTGATTGCAGTTGGGTGTAGAGAATGCAGGTAACGCCCACACCCAACACGGCCACAACGCCTGTGCGGCAGCCGTCCATCTTCAGTCGCAGCAGTTCCACCGCCGCCGGTGCGAGTTCCTCGCGTCTCTCACTTCACCTCCACAGCAGTCTTCTGCACACACCGCCCACCGGCGCCATCCGCACCCCGGCGGGAACCACGCGGTCCACCACGGCGATGGCCGCAAGGGGCGGGAGCGAAGGGGCCGCACCGCCGCTGCTGCCAACGGCGGAGCTCCACCCGTTTCCACCGTACAGCGGGCGGCTCGAGCGGCAACACAGCAGTCGCCACGGCCTCACAGCCCGCAGTGAGGAAGACACCATCACCACCACAGCAGCCGAGTTGGAGCGCGTGGAGGCGGAGGCCACAGAGGCCGCAAAGGGCATGTCGCGGGAGGAGTTGGAGAACGCCGTGAATGAACTCTACACATCCAACCGCATGCTGCAGAGCACTATTCTTCTCGAGCGGGAGGATCTGGCGAAGATGCGGGAGGGACTGCGGGAGACGTATGAGGCCGCAGAGAAGGAAGGCGAGAGCATCACAAATCAACTCACACGTCGTGTGGATGCCGTGCGGCGTCAGAAGGCAGAGTTGGAGGCGCAACTGCACAGGGAAGAGGCGCTGAAGGCAGAACAGGAAGATAAACTCGTAAAACTTAAGCTGAATAGCTCAAATTTGGCACGACGACTGCATCGTGAAGAGAACGAGACACTGAAAGGAATGAAAGAGGAACTACAGAAACTACAGAAACAGCGTCAACAGCTTGAGAGTATGCTATCGGAGGAGTCATCCTCACTGCATCAGTTGCAAGAATTTGTTGATGCCCTCCAACCCCAAACAGATGACAATACTGTTGGTAGAAGCAGCAGTATGAGCAGTAGTAACACCAGCAACGATCACAATAATAACAATGATAATAGTAATAATAATAATAATAATAATAATAATAATAATAATAATAACAATGACAACAGCTTGACCCCTGCACAGAGTTCAAGCAGAGGTGGAGACCCAGTCCCTGATGCTGCAGGGGCACTCCACTCGGACGCTCCGCCCTCACCACAGTGTGGAGCACCGGAATACACAGACCCAGCTAGTGATCCAGAGGAAATGCTGCAGTACTTAAAGCACGAAGTCTCTGTTGTGGAGGCACTGCAGCGTGAGGCATTTGAGCGTGGCAGGCGATATGAAAAGAAGCGGCAGGAACTTGAGTTGCGCATTTCACAGGCGGAGCGTGAACGCCGCTCCAACCGCCACTCACTTGAAGGCATTCACCAGGAACTTGTGGAGACAACAGCTACCGTTACGGAGCTAGCAAGTGCTGCGGAAATGGCCATGGAGGTGGAGATTGAGCGTCAAATACATGAGAGCAGTCGAACGGGTTCTCTTATGAGCGTCAGTCACGAGTGTTTATCACCGTCTATCAACCGCACACAAACACCACATGAGTCGTCTGCGGGAGCCCCACAGCGAGCGGCGTATCTGCATCCACGTACCAATAGTAGTAGTAGTACTAGCAGCAAGAAGTAGAGTAGTCTAACTATATATTATACATAATATAATATAATATTATATTGGTTAGACCACGTAGATTGTCTTTTTTATTTTATTTTAAACCCCTTCTGTGTGTTTCTTTTTTCTCTCAGAAGAGGATTGTTTATACTTTTCATTTCTTCTTTTTTTCCTTTGTGATACACTGCGTGCGTAATTGATTTTTCTTGTTCTGCTCCCTCCTGTGGATTTAACTGAGGGAGCATTTTTCCTAAACTCACGTGGTAATGGAACCACAGACATAACCAAGTGCAAGAAGAAAAAAAAAAGGAAAAAGAAAACGGAAAGTGAGGAGAACACAAAGTGGAAAATCTGGAAAATTAGAAAATGAAATGAAAGAAAATGGGAAGAATAAGAGGAAAAGTAAAACCACAATGATCGATTTCAAAGCAAAAATTTAAAAAAAGAGGTATTGCAAATACACACAAACAAATCAAACGTATGAGAAGCAGTCTGTTATTTTTACGTATTATTGTGTTCTCCGGAAAGCTTTGGATAGTCATTAGACTTTTAGTTGTTTGTGGGTGCTATCTGTCTCCTCCCTTTTATATATATATATATATATATATATATATATATATATATATAATATTAATATGCTTATGTATGAATGGGAGTGCGTGCAGAGGGAGACTGAGAGTGAAAACAGGGGAGTGATGATGACGCTGTTACTGCCTTTCGAGATTATTTGATTCTGTTCTTCTTTTTTACTTTCTCTCCATTTTTTTTTTTTTTTTGTTGAAGTAGAAACGTGTTATTATTATTATTGTTATTGTTATTAATATTGTTCTTCTCATTCTTGTTGTTTTTAAGATGTGCTGATTGATGCGTTGTGTGAACGAAAAATCATGACACGCACAATAACGGAGCAACAACAAACAGTACGCAAAGAAAAAAAAAGAGAAAGGGAGAGAAGTGAAATGCAAACGGTATAATGAAAAAGGGAGAAAAAAAATGGGGAAAATGATGGATACACTACATGTACATCCACATATCTCTCCAAATATTATTTTTTTTTTTTTCCTCGCTCGTATTGTGTTGGTGAATCTGTGTGATCTTTTTTTCTCTCTCTGTGTGTGTGTGTCTGTTTTTTTTTTTCTTTTGTGTATAACCTCAGTCGTTACGTTTGGGGGTCTCTTTCCCGTTCGTCATCATTTTTTTTTTTTCTTTTGCAACTCTAGTCGAGGTATATATATGTATATATGTATACACTCTGTTTATCTTTTTTTTTTTTTCTTTGCATGGTCTTGTGTGAATTCCTTGAAGGTTTTCTTTTCTTTGTTTCTGTTTCATAAGTCTTTATTTTTTTTTCTTCTTTTTCAACAATTGTTTCTGTTTCTCTTTTTCTCTTTTTCTTCTTTGCTCTCTTGAACATCACTATCTTTTTTTATTATTTTCCACTAGGAACCAGCGCTTCTGGCTTAGTTTCTTTTTTTTTTTTTTTTTTCTTTTCCTCCCTCTGTGTTTCTGTCCGTCCGATTACAAAACGTTGACTACTCGTATATCCGCTATTTTTGAAATGGCGGTGCGGCGGGGCAAACGGGCGGGATGTTCCCCCATTGCGCCGGTCTTTGCGTTGTTGACCATTGCGCTTCTCATGGTAGTGTACTTCATGGCCTTCACGGTGGGCAACTCCTCCATGGTATCGCGGGGAAATCAGAAACTAGAGCTCACCGCTCACATTGTGCGAATGAAGACGGAACGGTATGTGCAGTGCCAATCGCAGGTGCAGCTGCTGCGGAATGGGCAGACAACCGTCACACAGGCGAAGGAGGTGGTGGACGGCACCCGAAAGAATCTCGAAACGGAACTTGAACTTCTCAAAAGCCGTAATGAACTCGCCACACAGGAAGTAGAGGAATGTAAATTAAAAAAGAAAGAGTTATCGGGGAAACAGCAAGAGGGCACCGGCTCAACACAACGTACACCATTTGCAGAAGAGGAATATCAACGATATATGGCGGCTATTGCTCTTATCAACGGCAGTAGTCGTGTAGGGCGGCAAAGCACTTCGGATCTTCTCACGGCTCTCACAAGAGAAGTTGAAAAGCAGAAGAAATTATGGAGTGAGAGTGTTAAACTAATGTCGGAGTGTAATAATGCCGCAACTCGCTACAGTGTAGTCTTTGACGCCGGAAGTACCGGCAGCCGCGTGCATGTCTTCCGCTACAATCTCACCATTGAACCCCAAAACACCACACCGAAGATGTCACTATTACCATTTCTTCAACTCAATGATGAACTCTTTGTGCAAAACCACGCCCCACTCTCAAAGTTTGATAACGTGCATGATGCCGCCGCTTCCCTCACAGATCTACTGAACGCCGCCAAGACATACGTCCCTCACTCTATGCATGCATGTGTGCCGATTGAACTCAAAGCCACGGCGGGTTTACGCCGCATTGGCAGAGAACGGGCACTCGCCGTACTTGATGCGGTCCGACGTCATTTTCAGCTTGGGCCATTCTGGGTGCAGAAAGAAACAGACTCTGTGCGTATTCTCGAGGGATATGAAGAAGGGCCACTGGCGTGGTTGACGGTTAATTATCTTCGCGGGGCATTGGGCGGTAATGCCAACAGCACAGCCACCATTCTCGATCTTGGCGGTGGCTCTACACAGATTGTTATTCACCCAGATGATGCCAAAGTACTTGAAAATCAGAAAAAGTTCACTCACGAGTTCCATGTGAATGGACGTTCATATCTAGTGTATCAACATAGTTACGAAGGAAATGGGTTACATGCTGCCAAGGAACAACTTCTTAGTGCTGTGATGGCAGCTCATGCATCAACTAAGGAAGCCATACCGAATAATAATAATGATAATTCCCCAAATACAGATAATGTAGGAGATAATGCACATACAAAAACTGTTATTGACGCATTTCCGTGTTTCCCAAAGGGATATATACATCAAGAGACTAATGTATCGAATATCAAAGATGGTGGTGTCTCCCCATCTATGGAAGCATGTGTAGAACTTTTCCGAAGGTACGTGGTTCGTAAAAATGAAACATGTGGTAGTGATACCTGTGGCTTCAATGGTGTTTTTCAACCCAACGTAAAGACAGCTTCAACTGGTCCTGTTTATGCCTTCTCTTACTATTATGATCGTCTAAAACCATATATGGAGAGTGAAGTTATTACTGTAGGAGGTGTGGCAAGTATCGCAACTCGAGTCTGCGGGGAGATGAAATCTATGGAGGAAATAAAAAACAAAACAGAGGAAAAGAAAAATGGCATTTTAAAAGAAGAAATGGAATGTTTTGAACTTTCATATATGTTTACGCTGTTGCATCATGGATTTGGATACCCATATGAACAGGAATTGCACATTGCGAAGAAAATTAATGGGTTTGAGACGGCATGGGCCCTCGGTGCCTCACTTGTTACCCTTGAGGGAAAATGAGAGAAATAAGAAAGGAAAAGAATATCTTCTTTATATTTATATATATACCTAACCTTTTTTTTTTTACTTCTTTCTCTTTTTTTCTTTTGCGTTTTCTCCTTCTTATCAATCACCATACGCTTATTATTTTTCTTTTTCTTTTGGACATGAGTGTGGTCTTGTGTTATATTGAAACCAGAACGAAAAGCAAAAAAAAACTTGGTCTTAGCAGTGTAGTTACTATGAGTCTGAACATATATAATATTTCTCCATCTCACTATATACATATATATATATATATATATGTATAGGTGTGCGTAAGAGTGTATGGATAAGTAGTTTTATATGTTTGTATACAAGCACTCCTTCGGAGCATTATATTTTATTTTAACCGATACCCCATGTGTTTTCTTTTTCATGTGTGTGTTGGTGTGTTTCATTACGTTATCCAGTACCAATTATAGAGGTTTTTTGCTTCTTTTTGTTTCTCTTATTTGTTGTTGGATTTCTCTGAGAGAGGTAGTGAAACGGACGTTATCGTCGGCACTCTAGGGGAACAATATTCCTAAAGGAAAAGAAAAGGAGAGAGAAAAAAGAAAACAAAAAAGAAAAGGGAAGTAAAACCCAAAAAAAAGGGGGAAGAGAAACAAGAAACTCAGAGAATTGTGTTGTAAAAAAAAAAAAAAAATAAAGGAAGAAAGAAGGAAAAGAAAATGGCAGACGCCGAGGAACGATTTCTGGATGTTGTCCAGCAGGTGTATGATAACAAGGACACCACACTTCACTTCAGTTATCAAGAAGACTTTAAGAGCATCCCGGCGAGCATTAAGGCCCTGCGGACCACACTGGAGGTACTGCATGTGGATAACAACTACTCTCTTACATCACTTCCCCCGGCAATTGGAGAACTTGGACGTCTGCGCTGGCTGAATGCGAGTTACTGCCGCATCTCATCTCTGCCGCAGGAGATTGGCCGTCTCTCACACCTAGAGCGACTGTACCTGAGCAACAATCTCTTAACAACGGTGCCGATGGAGTTGTGGCAGCTGAAGAGTCTGCAGGAGCTCCGCCTCGACAACAACAAACTGCAAGTGCTGCCCGGCGGTGTTCTCTTTCTGCCCCATCTGGAGACCGTCACACTAGAGAACAACCCGCTGCTGCGGCAGGAGGAAGTCGCCGGCGCGGCACCGGTGAGTCTCGTGCCGCCGATGGCCTCCGTCGACTGCTCCAACTGCTGCGTGCGGCTGCAGAACTACGAGGTGTTCGTCACCTTTCACAATCTCGCCGCCCTGCGCTCCGTCCCCTTTGTGCACTGCGTGTGCTCAGAGATATGTAAGAAGCACCTGGAACTGCGATTAGCAGAGTACGACGCCTCACACCCCTTCACAGAACCCCAGTGAGAACACACACACACACCATCATCATCATCATTTATAATGTACCTGTATGTGTTAGGTATACTTTGTATGTAATTTTTGAATTGAACACTTTTTGTTTTTTTTTTTTTTCTTCTTTTCTTTTTTTTCTTTTCTTTTTTTTCGTTTCGTTTTTTTCTTTTTTTTCGTTTGCACTAGTACATGTAATGAGTTTGCAAACGAAAAAAAAAGAAAAGGAATCAACGGAACACACGTGTTTTTTTTTTTTTCCTTTTTTTTTTTTTTGAACCTCTCTTTTTTTTGGATGAACTCTTTCCATTTAACTATTTATGCAGCCAGTGTTTTACTTGGTTTCCCTGTTTCCCTATCCATAATGCTCTCTGTTGATGTTTCACTTCACTGGAAGAGTACTTTGAAAAGTCTTCTCTTCTTTTCGTTTCTTTTTTTTTTTTTTTATACTTGACTGTTCAGATGTAGAGAAAGAGAGATAGATAGAAAGAGAAAATAATATACTGTACTTTACAATTGTTATTATATATATATATATATATATATATATATATATATATATATATATATAGACATTATTGATGGAAGGTGATGTTGACAAAACAATGAAGCGGAGTGAAGAGGGTGGTTTAACTCCCAGTACGACGTTTATATCTACCGCTGAGTTTTATGAGTCTCTACGGGCTTTTACCACACGCTCTGAAGTACAACTCATGATTGAAACAACATTGAACAGTAAACAACAAGGGAATGGAAAGACACTTTCAAAAGAAGCCTCATCCCACGATATGACTCAATTAAATGAAAAACATCTGCAACAAATTGTATCTGAAGAAGTAAAGCAACAAGTGGGAAATGTAGTTCGTGATGTCTATGCGGATATAATGCAGCAACAAGAGGAGGTTTCTTCTCTTCAACGTGAACACATTATGAATGCTCTGCGTGAAGTTGAGCAGCGTGTGAATGTACTCCAGCGAGAAGTGAATGAACTCTCTCACAAGTATCGTAATACATACAAATTGTTAACTCAACTCTGTTGTGCTATTGAAGGTGCGACAGACGATATGATTATCTTTAACGATAATGATAATAACAATTCCAGCAGCAGTAGATGTAGTAGTGACTCCAGTCATATCGGCAAGAGTGCCTCTCAAACAAAAAATGTGGAAGGCACACAACAACACAGTCGTCTATTGGATGCATTACTGCAGGCACTCGAGAACAATCAACTCGATGAAGTTCGGGTTCTCGTGGCTGCCAGTCTTAGTCCCTTCGTGGCTGTGGCTACACAAGAGCAGCAGCAGCAGCAAAGGGATAAGAAAGAAAATAATGAAAGGAATCAGGTAGATATGATGATGGATTCCCATCATATGGTGTCTTCTCATGTCAACACAGTTCTCACTCCTCATGGGGAATCTCTCTCACAAGAGAGTTCCATATCACACTTATTAGCGAATATCACTCCACGAAATCAATTTAATCGCATCAAGTCTATTGCAACGACTGAGAAATTGTCGAATGCTTATATAAATAAGAATAAAAATGGGATGGTCTCACCGCGTAGCTTAACAGCTAGAGTTAATACCCAAGAAGTGGTGCTACATCCGTATGCCAGCGTCCCGACTCTTAGTCATCAGCGGGGCATTGAAAATATGAATGAAAACTATCCTAATAATCATCCATTTGAGTGTAATTATTCCCGCAAATATAATAATAGGTCCAACAACACCAACAATAGTGAGGTGGATCTTAATAAGAAGAAAAATGTCGGAGGTTGTGGTTGGTACAGTATCGGCAATAATAGCAGCAATGACAGCAATCACAAAAAGAATCACCATAATATCAATAACAACAATGATAATCGTGAAACTCCATCACTTGGCATTGAAGCGGTAGATGCACCAAGTGAATTATTACCGGTAAACTTGTCAAGAAGTTCTCCTATTGATTCAATTGTTAGTAGTGCTAGTGGTGGGGGTGTACATGTTTTAGGTATTGTGCGTGGCGGAGCTGCGGCACGTAGTGGTGTTTTGATTGGTGATATAATACTTGCGGTTGAAAGTCGCCGAGTACCAACGTGTGAACATTTGGCGCAAACGCTGCAAGATTTATTTATCACGCATGGAAGTCTTAAAGGGGTGATGTTGTCTGTTTACCGTCATAGTTCTCGTGCCGAGTTGGGAATATCCATTGCGTGAGATTATGTGTATAAATGTGTATATGAGAGGGTACTATCAATATAATAAAGTACCTTGATGCTCCTTTTTTTTTGTTGTTGTTGTTGTTGTTGGAAGTGGTGAAAAATGGAAGCGTGGCGAGTTATCCTGTATGGCTTTGACAGATAATGAAAGGACCAAGGGAGTAAGAGATGAGGGGTATCTCTCTTTCTTTCTATCTCTTGAGTGTTTGTATGCTCTTTGCTCTGCCTGTTGATTCTTTTTAATTATCTTTGCTGTTCTTTCTATTATTATTCTTGATGTCTTTTTTTTTCTCCTTCCTCACCTTTTCTTTCTGTGTATGGGTTTATTGGAAATACATGGAAAAAAAACAACAAGAAAAGAAAAAAAAAAGAGGAACAAAAAAGGTTTTGTTAACGATCAAGCTAGTGGTAACTAACCCACCAGTGAAAAGCAAAGTATATCCCTCTCTAAATAAATAGTTTATTTACTATTAGTAGAAAAGTATAATATAAATAAAGAAATATATATACTAGGTCTTTAAAAAACAAAAAAAAAAAAAACAGAGACGATGGATTTGGATGACTTGCTTGGGGCTGATCCACCCCAGACGGACCCTCTTTCTATCGATGATGTACTTGGAAGTCCAGTCAAACCCACAACAACAGGAGGAGTAGAGGAAGAGACAACAGATGCCACTGCGAGGTTAACAGAGGAAGTGAGTATTCCTAAACTCCGTCGTGCCCCAGCAGAGGGTCCATTACCCCCGCGTGTTCATCCAATACCCCTTTCACACTTTAAAGATCCACCGCCGCATGTAAAACCATACATGACAAACGCCTGTTACTATGCGAATCAAGTCTCTCTCATTCAACACGATGGTTCTCGTTTACGGCGGGGTATTGTTATCAGCGACAGTCATCTTTACATCATGACACCAGAGGCGCAGGTGGAGCGGGCGGTGCCGCTGCTGCTGCTGGAGGCGCTTTACTTGCAGGACATTCCCACCGTGAAAGTCCTCGGCATGTCGAAGGAACTGCAAACACACATGTTGCTGCAACTGCGCGAGCCACCAGATGTGTTGGTGGCCTTCGCAAGCGGCGACTCCCTGCCGCCGCCCGACACCGTCCTCGCAGCGCTGCTCAACACACACGATGTCGATCTCCCCATCAGCCGCTCCGCCGTCAACAGCAATATTGACATCCGGCGGCTCACGGCGTGGAGCGTCACCGACACCGTCGCCCGCCAGACATGCGCGGCCATTCACGCCCACCGCACGAACATCATCGCCGCCTTAAACGCGGCACGTCAACGCAGCGCCGCCCTCGCGGAGGAACGCGACAAACGCACCGCGGCTTTGGAAGCGGCCATTCACGCAACCGCAGCCGTCGCCCGCGAGACGGCAGTGGTGGTACGCAAGAACGAAGCCATGACGTCCGCACTCCAACAAGCAGCTACTTCACTCGAGAGATGCCGCGCACGTGAACAGGAACTGCGGGCCGCACTCCACGCACAACAACAACAACGACAGGCACGTGTACGGGAACGGGCCGCACAACAACAAGGCAACGATATCATTCAACACGCACTTGAACACGAACTCATGCGGGATGCACACCGTGGTGAGATGCGACACCTCAAACTCCGACGTGACTTTCTGCTGCGACGCAAATCCATCTGTGATGCCGTAAAACCCGGACAACAAGCGAAAAACAATGCAGATCTCGAGGGACTCATGAAGGATTTAACACGAATGAGGCGAGAAACTGAGAAACGAAGGGAAGCCACCGCAGAAGCTCTTTCCGAGGCAAAAAAACGGCTCGCAGAGTCAAAGGGAGTGTTGAAGCGAGTAACAGAGGAGGTGGCAGTACTGCGGCAATTACCACTAAATGAACCCATTCCTGGTAATTATAATCGTGAGATGGCACCAACGTTTCTACCCGTACTTCTCCCAGAGGGAAGTGAGGAGAATCAGGGGGACGTTGGTGAGGTAAATATCCCACCAGCTACAGGAGCGAAGAATGAAAAGAAAGCGGCGGCAGTTATTGTAGTTGATGATGATGATGATGATGATGATGATCTTCCTCTTTTGCCAGCAGCAACGAACCAGCAATCCAAGCAACCACCGGCCAATACAAAGCCTACCATTCAGTTTGATGATGATGACCTGTAGTTAATAGTCCTCTCTCTCTCTCTCTCTCAGAGAGAAAGAAAAGCGAAGAGAAATCTAATTGGTTTGAGTTATTTTTTTTTTTTTTTTTCAGGTTTTGTTTTTTATTGTTTATTCGTGCCTTTCTTTTTCTCTCTATTGCCCTTTTATCGTCTTTTTTTTTTTTATGCCTGACAATTTTCTTCTTTGACTCAATTATTACTCATAATTTCTACGACCTTCTTAAGTCCCTTTTTTTCGGGTGGGGAGGTGTATATTTATAGTATGTGTGTGTATGTATGTGAACACGTCTTATCTTCTTTTTTTTTTTTTTCCTTTTTTTTTTTTTCTCTTTATTTCATTTACTCTTACATTTAATGTTATTGTAATTCTAGTAGTTGTTGGTGGTAGTAGTGGTGGAAAAGTAGATGCCAGCAAAAAAGAAGGCCGAGAAGAAGGAAGAACAAGTTTTCGTTGAAGAGCAAGGCAGTTATGTACATGAGGAACAGTCTGCCCGCTACGTTGGAGGTGTACGTCGGTTAACTGAAAGTACCTACCGCTGTCGTCATGGCCACGGCATCTTCACAAGTCCACTGATTCGCTACGAGGGAGATTGGCAAGAAGACGAAATGCATGGAAACGGTAAATTACAGTTTTACACAACAGGCGATATGTACTGTGGCCAATTTGTGCGTGGGATGTTTGAAGGCAACGGCATCTACACATGGAGCTCCGGAGCCTCTTACGATGGCTCATGGCGTGGCAATCGCATTCACGGCCTTGGCACCTACACAGATGCGAATGGTAAAGTCTGGCATGGGAAGTATTATAATGGCTGCGGGCCGGGGCTCATGCCGTTTGCAGGCGGTCCATCCAAAATGGAGGCAGTAGAGGCACAGCAACAGAAGATTGCTGCGGATACCGCAGGCTAAAATGTAATTTTTTGTTTTCTCTTTTTCTGTGTTGTTGTTATTTATGGAATGAGGGGATGTTTAGAGTGTTCAATCTGGATGTATTGTGTTTGTGTGTGTTTTTTTTTTTTTTTTTTTTTTTTAGAGGTGGGCGCTCACATTCGGTATATTGCCACATATCATTTCTGTGTGTTTTATTTCGTTATTTTAGTTTATTCCATTTACAGTGTATCGATGTATGGATATGACCGTTTTTCTTTTTTCTTTTAATTGTTTTATATTCTCTTTTGACTATACCTTCTTTTCCTTTCTATCTCTCCCTCTATATATATATACATGGTGTGCTGTGGTAGCTGAGTAAAGATTCAACATTGAAAAGAAAGGCAAAATAGGAGTGTTGAGAAGAAAACTATAAAAAATATCATCAAAAACAGTTTCATCAGAAAGAAGAAGACGAAGAAAAAAGAAGAAGAAAAAAAAAAAACACTTTGTTCTTCTCTTATTGGTGTGTATACATTGCCTTCCTCAGAAGGGAAAGAGTAAAAGAAAAAAAAGAAAGGTATTGCTATAGTGTGAAGAGACAATTCAAAACGAAAAAAAAAGAAAAGAAAACAACAACAACAACAACAATAGTTCGGACGAGAATATCATTATAGTTGGTGACAATAACAAAGAGAAACATACTTATAGATCTATCTACATATATATATACACTTGCCCACACACTACACACAAAGAAAAAGAGAAAGTGTGTGAGTGTGTACAAACTTTGGGTACCGAAGCAAGGAAAGAATAAACAAACAAAAAAGAAAGAAAACAGAGCGTGTGAAAATCCGTAAAATTGCAAACAAGCCGTCAAAAGTTTACGGGACACACAGACACAAAGAAGAAAGAAAGAAAGAAAACAACAACAACAACAACAAGAAAACGAAGCCCCTCAAAAAA